TCAATATAAAAAGAAAGTTGCTGCCGCAGATTTAATAGGAATTTGTTCATCAATTCGCGCAGAGCCAATGCGATCTTCCTCTCCCTTTTTTATTGGCTGCTGCGGCGAAGCGCCCTTTCAAACTCCGCAAGAAGGGACTTGACTCTGGAAATTCTGGAATGAAGTATGTTGAGCTTTTTTTTTAATTATACCGTTTTGGACACTTTAATAAAGATTTTTTAATTTGATTTTGAATACCGTAATGTCGCCTTATTTATTCAAATTTCAATTTCAATGTATGTAAATGAATATTACATTATGATATTGAAATGAACAAAAATTTGCCTAAGAACGTCTGCACCATCAAGAATTGAAAAAAAAAACCAGCGAGGTCACTATATGGCTTTCTCAATTTAAATTCAACTTATTCGGCTTGTGATGATATCGGCCTTCGAAAGACAACTTTTTTAACGCAAAATTATATGATTTCCAATAATTCTACCGTAAAAACAAAAAAGTACAATGTTGGCAACCGCACACCGAACCTTTAATTCGCCCTAATTCCTAACAATTTCCCGAAAATATTTCGACAACATCCTGTATGGTCCACACACCGGCGCGGTTCTCGAAACCGATAAAAACGGAGGTGGCGAACGGATCCTGCAATTTTGCGGTGATGAGAAGCCACGGTGTCAAAATTACAGGGCGCGCCGTCAAAGAGCGGCAATTTACAATCGACCGTGATGGACACGATCGCCTCGAGATACCTTCGGATTCTTAGGCGTTTAAATTATTTCGCCGTTTAGGGTTTTAGATATTTATAGTGCCTTTTTCGGGAAATTGGATAGGAGTATTGGAATTAAATGAAAATTACTTTCAGTATTGCAATCGATCACCTTTTTTTATTTTTCTTGATACCTACGCCAAAGTTTCATAAATGTACATACAGGATGTGAACTGTAATGGGTACTGGTCAATGTCTTTTTGAAGACCAAGGAATCCTCTGATCTTCTTGGTTGCTCTGGACATTGGTTAATCCATATATTAAAATACATCGGTGTCATAACGATACCCAGTCGCCATTCGGATCGGCTGTTCCACTCGCCTTACTCTAACCTTCCCTCTTGCAATTCATTCTTTCCAACTCTTTCTGCGTCTTCCTCTTCTTCTTCTGCCTATTGATGTCCATTCTAGGATTTGTTTAGGGAGGCTTTCTGAAGTCATTCTTTGTACGTGTCTGTACCATTTTAGTTGTTTTATTTTTATTTCGTCGACCATTGTATGTCTGACTCGCATCACTTCTCGTATCCTTTCGTTACTTATTTTCTCCAACCTGGATTCTGGATTAGCAGACGCTCGTCTCCAATGTTTTGATAGATTTCTCTTTCAGTTGCCACACTTTGCTACGCTACAATGCTTTTGACAATCGTGTTGTATATGCGATGCTTTCTTTGCTAATCCTTTGATCCCACAAAATAGTGTTAAGCATTTTAATAGCTTTCCTGCTATGTACATTTGATTGGTTCATCTAGAGTCCCATCATTTGTTATACTAAGACCGAGGTATTTGTATTTAATGCACGATTTTAGTGTGCGTCCATCTTCCAGCGTCATATTCTGTTGTAATCCTCCTATACACATGTATTCAGTTTTTGTTATGTTGACTTTTAACCCCCAACTTTCATACTCCTCAACAAGCTTTCTTGTCATATTATCTAGATCTTCCATATCCTACACCAGTACTATTTGGTCATCTGCAAAACTCAATGTGGATAGAATATTTTCATTTAGGGGGATGCCCGGCCCTTTGCATTTTTGTTTCCATTTTGAAAGCACTTTTTCGAGGAAAATTTTAGAAAGTGTAGGTGACAAACAAAATCCTTGTTTTGGTCCTTTATTCGGGGAAAAACCTTTTGAAACATTGCTGCCGATTTTTATTTTTATTTGACAGTTTTTACATAGTTGTTGGACCGCTTTTATTAGGTTTGTATTTATGTTTGTAAGAGATTTTCATAGTTTGGTCAGAGAGTCACTGTCATAGGCTTTTTTTAGGTCTACATAGAGGGGATGGGATATTCCTCATTTACTGCCGTCATTTTCTCGCTAAGTTGTGTAATACAGAATAGATTATCTACTGTGGATCTCCCTGCTCTGAAGCCGACTTGTTCATCTGCCTCGCTGTCGGCATATTCTCGTTCGAATTTTCCCTTTAAGATTTTTCCATATATTCCGCTAATTATCTCATTAGTTATTACTGTGATATCTCTATAGTTGTCACACACCTCTTTGCTACCTTTTTTATGAATGGTTGACATAATAGACAATTTCCATTCGGATGGTACTTCTTCGCTGTTCAAGTAGATTTGAAATGAGAGAGTCTCGTTCGGTTTTCATATAGTTTTGGCGTGCCTACTTAACTTATTATGATGATATATCACGGTCTTCAGTGAGTAAAGTGGAAAAGTACTTATCCCACTTATTAAGAGTAATCGGAGATATGATTTATTTGGTCTTGTCTTGTCCTGTCTTGAAGATTTCATAAATCTCCAACTTTCAGTGCTTTTCGCTCCTTCTATGTAACATTATAATCTATTACAGCGTCTTTCCCATGTTTCGTTTTTCTTTTGCGTGATCATGTTACTTACTCTCCTTTGTGATTGTTTATATAATTTTTTGTAGTGTTCTGTTTGAGTACTAAGGCCCAGTTTCACAATTGGTGATAACCTGCAATAGTTACCTATCAAACTAATAGTTGCGGGTTAACCACAAGTTCGCAAAATGAGGATTGACTCAAGTTTTCTGATGCTTGACCAGTGTTTTTGGCTCAGCCACACATTACGAAACAGACATATTGTGGGTTACCAGTGTCTTGTTGTTACCGCTGTTTGTGAAACTGGCCCTAATATATTTTCCATAGGTTTGTTTTTCACTTTAATTTCCTTTTCTATCTCTTCATCCCACCAATAGGGTGTTTTCAAAGTATCCTACTGACTCTTTTGCTGCTTCATGTAAGCAACTTTTAATGTTACTGTAATGCTCTGGAAATTTTCGACTCACTGCTGCAGGTTGGTCCTCTGTCAACTCTGACATCGCTAGCTTTTTTGTGGTTCTATCAAGTACCTACTCAATTATGGATTTTAGGTTTTGAGATGGTTTTATCCAAGTATATTCATCGATCTATTTGTGTGGATAGAATCCATTCGTAATTCGCAGGTCGTTCTGCCCCCAAAGTGTTAGCCTTTGCCCATTATCGCTTACAGTTTGTTCTCCATATTGATCAGTCACTTGTCTCGGGTTTTACTTCCCATCCTGCTATTCATATCTCCTAGGATAATTAGATCAGATGTATCTCCTATGTTTGTTATTTCTCGATGTAGTTGTGTACCTATCATCATAAACTTTTCATATATTCCCATCATGATTTCGTGTGCATTTGATGTCAGATTCATCTTTAAGATTCTCTCACCTATAGAATCTCATAAAGTTATACACATTCGTAGTTTTTCTGAGATCAGGATAGATAAGCCTTGTCAGACACTTTTATCTTTATTGAAGTTGTTAAAGTTTCTCAGGTTCTCATAACCATTACCTTTTTTTGTCTCCGTTATATCGCCACGGCGATGTCTGATTTCTGGAATTCGTAGGCAACTTCGTTTATCTTGTTTGTTCAACCTTGCACGTTCCAAATATAGAGGTTCATTGTCCGTTCCATAGATTGTGTCGTCTTCGTTTGATACGTTGCTTCACCTGTACCCCAGGCAGGGGCCCTTACAGGGTGCTATCATTCAAGCCAAATGAACCCTGGTTTTTTATAGGGTTTGTTACTCCTCTATACCTGCTCCTTTCCCTTGGTGCAACGAAATCCCATGATTGGGACTGGTATTGAACATAAATAAAAAAATTCGCAAGCGCAGTTCAATTCGCAACTCATTTTGAACTAAGTCCGAACAAACCTATTAGCATCCATGTATATTGGGCAGATTTCTCCTTGAAGTCCTTTAATGACATTATCCACAACTCTCTGAAAACTCGTTGGAGCGGATGCCATCCTCACAAACTCATAATGTCCATTTTCCAGGATGAAAGCCGTTTTTAGAATGACTTCCTGAGCCATCTTTTTTTGGTGGAACCCGCTGGCTAGACCCAGGATTGTGGAGTGGAGTATCGGCATCTTCCAAGTTTATCCAATATCTCACTGATATTATTTGGGATTGGTTACTTATCTTCGATGGTTTTTCCATTGACCTGCTAGAATGTGCTGCTTACTTCTCCAGGTGCAACCAAAGTTGTTGATGACAATATTGTAGATTGTGATCGTTGGGGTGTTGAGGTAATGGACCTCTCAGCACTGCGACCTGATTAGATCTATTGTGTTTCCCTTATATCTAGTTGCTTCCCAGATTAGGGCTGTTGGCTAAGCCTATAATGTTCCTGGGATTGGTTTCTTTCACATCCACAGCCCAGTAGTAGGGCTACTCCAGATGAGTCTTCTGTGGCACAATGCCTTACAATTACAAAGTGTTCCGTGGACTCAGAGGCTTCTTCACAGAAGCGGCATAGGTTTGAAGCTGTTTTACCTATCTTTTCTGCTAACCCAGAGAGCAGTGACCCGTAAGGAGGCCTATGAGCAGCCTTGGATTCACTTCACTGAGGTCAATCATTTCCTTTACCTATATTGACTGTGGCGATACGAATTTTTCCACCTGTCTAAGTGCTGGAAGCTGTAGGTAACCCTTTCTGTTAACAAATTTACAAGAGGCCCATAATATGCTCAGTTTGCTCAGCGAATAATTATTAGGGGTGGTCTATAGTTTAATAATAACAGAATGGCAAGGGCGCCACTGAATTAAAGAAATATATATATGTATATTAAATTAACATTAAATATTGCAGGGTCAACATTCAGAAATACACCTAAAAAAAATAATCAGGAAACGGTAATAGATAATTCTGAAAAGGAAATAAATAAGGCATATAACTCAACCAAATCTTGACGTAGGTAAAACCAATAAAACAATTAAGTAAGTTTCAAATTAAATTAGTATATATTTTCACAGTGAAGTCAAAAATCAAGTATTGGCGTATTTCAAAGTATAAAATCAATTGTTAGAAAGATTAATTTTTTTTTAACGAAGTTCAATTTTGCTTGGACAGGGAGCTTCAGCCTATGTCCTTCTGATGAGTCCTAACAAGGACGAAACGCGTCAAGGATTGGCACGGGAAGTCTGGGTCCATTGCTCAGTGGGTCGATTCCCAAACAGGGACCGTTGTGTCCCTGTATTCACGTTGGTCATTACCTGAAAAAATATTTCTAACAATTTTCATTGCCAACGAAAGCTCAGACCAATCAGTGTAGTTCAACGCCGGTAGGGGTATTTGCTCTCGGAGTAGTTGTTTCTGACTGGTCAACGAAGTTCATAAAATCAATTGCTGGTAAAATACTTTAAATAAAATCAATAAACAGAGGTAAATTTCCAATCAGTTTCATCAAACTCCAAAAAAAAAAAAAATTACAATTTACCTCAATATATTTGCCATATAAATACATCAACAGTCGCTGGCCATATCATTATCATGAAATGGAAATATAAAAGATTTAGGTTTCCAAGAATCTAATTTAACAAAAAAATTAATGATTGAAAATTGTATTGATAAATATGGTCAGATCCTGCTCAAAAAATAAATTTAATAAAATCAACTTGCACCTGTATGAAATCGAAAGTTGGGTTAAATGGTCAGGAGATAATAAAAATCCTCAAAATATATAAGTTATAGGACCCAGGGTTAAAAATTGATCAATTTCCGACGATGTAGGTACTTACTTAATAATTTTAAATTTGGAGCATGTTGTCCAACCTTGACTTCTGCTCAGATTACTGATTGATTTTTATCGATAAAATATACATATACATTCTTTAAATATGGCGGTACTAAAAGTTAAGTAGATATAAAATCTATAGTAAATACGGTTAATCAAAAATCTGAAATAATTATTTAAAGTTCACTTAGAATATGAAATTGGAATTTCAAATATTTAAATGTCATATCAGGAAAAAAAATCAATAAATTTGGTAAAGCAGATTTCATTAAAAAAATAATAAAAGTTGGAAATGAAACTCTATATAAGCCTCCATTCCAACAAAAAGTTAGAGCGCGGTAGCCATCCATTCTCGGCCACTTGACGAGGGAAGTTGCAGATTCTAGCCTGGAACCAAAACTAGAAGTTCAGTTTACTCCATCAAATGTGGTGGACTTTATTCCTCTAGGAATCCCTTCAAAAGCTCTATGCCACGCTCCACGAAAATGGTGTTCTTTCAAAAATGTGGCCTTTTGGAAATGGGTTCGTTGAGAGAAACGGCTCCTCGAAAAACGGCTCCTCGGAAAAACCTAAGTAATAGAGGCAGGGACAACCATTACCTATTGAAAAAAATTGAAAAGGACTTACCACGAGGGGGTTCGAAATTCAAACTCAAATAAAACGGTAATCACAGTTGACGAAGATATCTGCCCCCCGGCCAGAGTCGATCTTTCAGGGCAACGGCAAGATTAAAAAGGGACGAAGAAACGTACAATCTCTACAGGCAGAGCTTCTTTCAAAAAATAGCCAACAAAAAGTGTTGGTACTAAACTGTTACTTCAAACTTAAACGAAAATCGGTCTCTCTATGGCTATGGAAAGAAATAGTAACAGTAGCGTATCACATGCTACATGGCGTGTTCCAGAGGGAGGCTTGTTAAGCGTTCACCCAATTATGGATTTTCCCTATTATATGGCTTTTCGTAATGCCAAAACAGAGATTCTGGTCCAAGCAATGGCGATGCAGCTCCTTGTCTTGCAAGTTGGTCCTCCTTGATGCCCTGGTACCTACCCATGATAGGGTGATTCTATAGCCAGACTTAGAAACAGAGCTACTCAGAGCTCTTAGTGCTGCCTGAATATCGGAATTTATACAAATCTACTCTTATCTCATGTCTCTTTTGAGACACTTTCTAGCGCAAAATTCTATTGCGAATATTTCCGCTTATACCCCTGCTCCAGTTGCTTGATCTGTTTTCGATCCGTCTGTATACCATACATCCTTTCGAGAATACAGGTACGATATTTTTTCCCTTGCGGGCCTCAATAGTCACTGTGTTAAAACTTAAAACTCGTGTTTGCACTTGGTCAAATAGTTTTGTCTTCACATTAATGCATTCTTTCATAATGCTCATGTGGCCGACAAAGTCCGCTTCCTTTAGTTTTAGGGACTGCAATATTCTCGAGGGTCCCATGTAGGCCTCTTTCCTCACTATTATATCTAGTGGGGGAGGCCCAACATGACCTCCATTGCGGCGGACATGTGCACCTGTGATTCCAAGACATGCATAAGTTTTTAATGGCAATGTTGTCTGGATGTGCTTAATGATTTCTTGATCAAGCATTCGCGTTTGGGTTGATCAATTCTGTCCAGGTTCAGAATCAGAATCAGAATCAGAAAAAGCTTTATTATCAAAGATAGAAATCTTATTGACAAAGCAGTCTTATATCTCTACATAATCAAATAAAATAAAATTAAAAGTAAAGTATTACTAATTTACAATAAATATGTGAGTCGCATTCATAAGGTATGTAAAATTTAAAATTAAATATAAATACACAAAAATACAACTATAAACAAAATAAGATAAAATAAAATAAAATAAAATAAAATAAAATAAAATAAAATAAAATAAAATAAAATTAAATAAAATAAAATAAAATAAAATAAAATAAAATAAAATAAAATAAAATAAAATAAAATAAAATAAAATAAAATAAAATAAAATAAAATAAAACATCAACATCATTACATTTATAAACTAACAATCGACATTCAACTAGCTGCGTAAAATTCTTCTAAAGTGTAAAAACAATTCTCCAAAAGATAGTCTTTCACGTTTTTTCGGAAGGCATTAAAATTATCAAGTTCTCTCAATTGTAAAGGTAGATTATTGAATATTTTACGGGTTTCATATATTAAGGATTTTTTTATCATTGTTGAAGAGAGTATCGGAAGATGGACAACCTGTGTCTGTCTAGTTCTATAGTTATGCTGGAAATTGTAGTTATCCCTATATCTATTTTTGAATATCAAACAAACTGATTCCAATATATACAGAGATGTTAGGGTAAGCACTCTCTAGTCCCTGAAATAAGGCCTGCAAGAATCATTCCGTCTTAGCTGAAACATTGATCGGATAGCTCTTTTCTGGAAGCGGAAGACGGACTGAAACAGGCCATCACTGCACGCACCCCAGAATGCTATCCCATAGCGTAGATGAGACTCTACCAGGGGGCCGATCCCCGGGCCAGGGAGTAGAGCTTCCCGAGAGAACAAAATTTTCGTCTTTATCATTCTCGTTTACTTTTCGATTACGTTGACAAGGACAAAACATTCGTTCTATCGGGAAGCTCTACTCCCTGGCCCGAGGATCGGCCACCTGGGCATAATAAACATCCCTCGCTACCCCCACGCCAAGCTCCCTGCGGACAACCCTAACGGCAAAGCATCCCGACGCAACCTTTTTTTTCAGTTGACTTGTATGTGCTTCAAAGTTTAGTTTTTCATCGATGAAAATTCCCAAAAATTGTGTGTGTTTCCTGTTGTAATGGATTATTGGCAAGCATTAACCCTTCCATCGTACATTTGAATCCTATGATTTTACTTTTATCTATGTTAAGAGCAAGCTTGTTTGCATCAAACCAGCGCTTTATAAGATCAAGTCCAGACAATACTATTCCCCTAAGATTCCCAACATTATGACAGTGCCACAGACAGGTGACATCGTCAGCAAAAACAGACATCTCTGCATTTACATTAATTTGACATAAATCATTCACATATATGAGGAAGAGTAGAGGGCCAAGCACTGATCCCTGAGCAATGCCACAGGTAATATCTCCGGACCGGGAGTACTGACCGTCCAGAAAGACTCTCTGAGATCTGCCCTGAAGGAAGGACATTATCCACTCCAGAGCCTCTCCCCTGAAGCCATAGCATTGAAGCTTCAGCCGCAAGATTCTGTGACTAACGCAGTCAAACGCCTTGGATAAGTCACAGAAAACTGCGGCTGCCGCCTCTCCACTATTTAGGGACGTGTAAGCGCTTTCAAGGAACCCAAAAATTGCATCATTGGTGCCCTTCCCCTCCTGAAAGCCAAATTGGTTTGGGCTGAGGATATTATTCTCCACTAAGAAGGCCATAATTCTTTTCTTTGCGAGTTTTTCAATGATCTTTGATAATGTGGAGAGCAGTGAAATGGGTCTGTATTTGGATTCCTTATTTGTTTCGCCACCTTTGTGGTTAACTGATGGCGGTCGTAAGTATTTCTTTCAAGATTGCTGATTATTTTGCGTTGGTAGCACAATTGTACCTCCATTTCATATAGAATTTGAAGCACTGAAGTGTAGAGCGCAAATGATAATCTAGTCTGGCTTTGAAAAGTTCAAGATTTTTATCTATAGGTGTGATGGAATTTGAAAAGATAGAGCTTCATATCATCATTTGAATCGAATTCGGGAGACATTGGGATCTGAGTGAATTAATCCCTAAATTGAGGTTACGATGAATAGTCCACTCTTAAGATAATTTGGCAATTGTTCAGAAGTTCTGGATTGGAGAAGACTTGGTGACATTTGAGTTAACGATACCCATATGGAAGTTTCTTTTGTCAGTGTAATTATTCAATTCTATCATATTTCTCCGTTTGTTTTTTCTTCTTCTTGATAATCTATCATGTCAGCTTCTTCACATTGATATCCGTTTTTTTTTTGAAAATTGTGCATTCCTGTATCCTGTATTATTATTAGCTAAGTGGGCATTCACCCCAAAGTAGCATGCGACGTGCGACTTGCTACCTTGAAGCATCCTGCACGTCACAACTTGCGTCTTCCAGGATTACTTTCATACCAAAGTCGCACAGTGCAACCCCATTTATCAACAGTTCCCTGTTGGTAATCTTCTTCTTATTTGTCAACCTCTATCCATTCATTCCTGCATATAGGTCTCTCCCAATTGTTCCCTTCTTTCTCTATCCTTCGCCAATCTCATCCAGTGTTTGAGGTCTTCCCGTGCTTCTTGATGTCTTGATTCTTCGTGTCTGTTTGTTGAACGATTCACACTTAAACGTAAACATCGTAAATGTCAACTCTCCACCGTTTATTCAGCTCTGCTCTAAAATTGGAAAAGCAAATAACAATTACTTGGTTGGATAGGCTTGTTTTTCCTTTGACTCTTGAGCAGGAAACACGTAATTTTCAATCTTTTCGATGATTCGTG